TAGTAAGCTTGGGAAATTGCCTGAAGTGTTGAAAATTCTTGCTGATTTGGATGAAAAAGGTGTGAAACCTGATGAATTTACAATTAGTGCTGTGATTAATAGTTTTTGTAGAAATGGGAACATGGAAGGAGCTCTTGAGTACTATTTTGATTCAAAAACAAATGATCTTTTCCCAGATTTATTAGGGTTTTTCTATTTAATTAGAGGGTTATGTTCTAAAGGAAGAATGGAAGAATCTAGAAGTGTTTTAAGGGATATGCTTGAAATTGAAAAGATTGTTGATTTGCTAAAGAAAGTTGATACAGGGGATGAAAATGAGTCTTTGGATCATTTTCTTGATTCTTTATGTAATCAAGGGAACATACGTGAAGCTATTTTGATTCTTGATGAAATTGTGAGGATGTTTTTTCCTGTAGGAAAGAAGTTTGATGAGGAAAGGATTGGATTAGGTGGATCTCAACCGTTGATTTCTGATCAAGATGATGGGGTGTATGATGATTTTGAGGCTTGTTATAACTTACTTGCTTCACTTTGTTCTAGAGGAGAGTTAAAGAAGGCAAATAAAGTTGCAAAGTTGCTTTCTGGTTTTGATGGAGGATGATTGATTGAAAAATGAAAATGTCATTTTCTTCATGTTTGATGCAGTTTTCAGGTATGTACTTGCTATTTTGATTGAAAACTAATTGTTGAATAAAGCTTTTTAAAAGATTAAACTTTGCATTATGTGACACCTTCTAATCTTTTTCCCATAAAATCGACTTTTTTTCAATGTGGATGGAAATCATGGAATCTTTCTTGATCAATGGAACTTATATTATAGAAAAGTAACTGTATCAAAATAATATAGCATGATTAGCATCAACATTATAAATTTATAACTATAATATATTTGTTCATATACTTAAACATATATATGTTGTATATATATTCCACTTATGCATTTTCCTAATCTCCATTTAGGTGATATGAGCTCTAGAAGATTACTTTACCACATAGTCTTAATGGTTAAGTGGTTTTTGAAAGGAAATAAGATCTTAATGATGAAAAACATATTACGTATTCAATCAAGAAAAGCTAATACAGATTCTTGTTTTCAACCTTGCTCCTAATATCTAACTTATAATTTGGCATTTCAGGATCATATAAATGTTACCAATAACAATGAGATTGGAATGCGCAACACAATTTTGTTACATGGCCACTATTTTTTAAGGTCAGATTTGTGGATTATAAGTTGCAAAATGGACATGGTAAATCGGTAATCCATAAGCTTCAAAGCACAAATGGAATTGGGGATTCCGTCGTTTGATCCACCTCATCATGTATGTAAATTAGCAGCAATCAGAGGGGAGATAAATGGAAAGCGTTATTGTAAGAGTTGTGTTTACCTTCTTATAGATCTTTGAATCCTCAAAGTGGAGTTTGAGTTTATAACAATTTAACTTGAATTCTCATTGTGTTTTCAGAGTATTATGTTAATATGTATGTATTTGTAATAAGTTTTTTTTTTTTGGTTACGTAAAAATACAGAAAAGCAATTGTACTTTTGTCATTATATCGGTTTAGCCATGTAAGTGGCATTTGTGATGATTAGATTAATATATGTTTTCCTGGTTAATATGACATTCTACGAAAAAAGCATGTTCAACCCTATTTAACCTCAACAACTCGATATGCAACTTTGACCGCAGTTAATGGTCAAAGTTATTATTTTCCAATGAACCGTTTTCCCTCACTTTTTTAATACCCATCAATTATTTTCTCTTGTTCATTGCAAGTTCTGAGAAGTCTTGTAATAACCCTATGCAACTCATTGCATTATTTATCTTTCTCAAATATAGTTTCATTTCGGTTGCTTTCTAGTTATAAATTCAAACTTCCTAAATTTTTAGATTTTCATATTTAATTTCTTTTTTTTTTTTTGACAAAAAACCTGTGTAGCATATGAGTCTTACAATTTGCCACATGTTATTTTAATTTATTTTCACATATCATTTTATGCTTTTTTTTTTTCTATTTTATTAAATTTCATAATGTAGTAATTGTAACAAGTATAAAAGTAAATTACACGAATGATCCCTATGGTTTAGAGTAATTTGCACGTTTGGTCCCTAACTTATTTTTTTTACTTGTAAAGTCCCTACTGTTTGTTTTTGTTACATGTTTGGTCCCTGTCTTACCTCAAAAATCTGTTTTGCTCTTGATTTTTTTAAATATTTAAATAAGTACACCCCAACTCTATCCCATTACTTTACCTTATCTATCCTATAATTTTTCCCGATTTAAATAATAGTTTTTTTAGGTAAGACCGGGACCAATCACGTACCTAAAACAAACAGTATGGACCAAACACATAACAAAAACAATCAGTAGAGAGTTTCTAAATAATTACAATTTTATTTATCTAAATTATTTACTTCAATTTTAATAATTCAATATTTTTCTTATTATTCTTATAAATTCAAACTTCTCATATATATATATATATATATATATATATATATATATATATATATATATATATATATATATATATATATATATATATATATATATATATTTGGAAAACAAAAAAAAACTTAAAAATCATAAAAAAAATACTTAGAGATCACAAAACTTTTAAAATTTTTTTTTATAGAAAAATCGCAGCTTTTTTAATAAAATCGATGAAAAAAAATAAAAATCATTTTTTTTTTGTTTTTTTTAAATGTTTTTTTCTTAAAAAAAATTTCAGCAGTTTTATACTGAAAGTTGCGATTTTTTCATAAAAAAAATTCAAAAAAAAGTTTTGTGATCTCTAAGTATTTTTTTTTTTTGCATTTTTTTTTTATTTTTAGGGTTTTTTGTTTTCCATTGAACCTATATATAGTATAATGGGTCTCACTACTATAGTAATATAGTATAATTGTAACATCCCGAAATATCAAGAGTAGAGTTGAAGGGCTAAAAGAGTAAATTGGGAAAGAGTGACTCGGCGAGTAGAGTCGCGACTTGGTCGCGTGTTAAGTGGGCGACTCGGCGAGTCAGTGTAATGGACTCGGCGAGTAGGCGCTGAGTGGAGAAAACCCTAATTCTCGGGGTTGAGCCTTATATAAAGATCATTATGTTTCCCTCCCAGCCTCTTTATCACCCCTTGAGCCCCAGAAAACCCTAAATCACGAAGAAGCACCATTGTTGGATGGATTGGAGCTTGGAGAATGTATTTGTGAAGGAATTTTGGGAGATTGAAGGCTTGGAGCAAGGGGCTTTGTTTGAATTCGAGTCTCATTTCAATTGGGGCATCCCTTTGAGGTAATATCTCGTTTTTTTGAGCTGCTATTTCTTAGATGCATCATTTTGAGGGTGTTGGAGATCATATCTTTGGATGTATTGGAGTTTAGAGGTTAGATCTGAGGTTGCTACCTCAGATCTGGAAGGGAGAAGGTCTAGAGTGCATGAAAGTCCCTGTTTGTGAGTGGTTGATGGAGCCATCTTGTCCCAAATCCTAGCCCAATGTGCAAACGGCTTAGATCTCTTTGGATTCACGTAAAGTTTGCCACTTTACGTGATGGATGGGTTGTAGGAGGCTAGATCTATGTTTTGGATCAATTGCATGGCCTGGAGTGCTTCTGAATGGATTCAGAACGGTGGTACTCGGCGAGTCACATGGGTCGACTCGACGAGTTGCTTGAAGATGGCCTGGAACTCGACGAGTTGGAAGAACAACTCGGCGAGTAGGTTGAAGATAGTCATAAATAAAATGATGAAACAACGATGTTTTTTTTATATATATATTTTTTTTTTTTTTTCATCCCTTTGGTTAAAGAGTTTTGTTCAATAATTTTAATATGTGTAAGACTCTAGTGTTTACAAAACTAATATTGATTTTTTTTAGTTTTTTTTGAAACCATTAACTACAAACATGGTAAGTATTATGTCACCGTCACCTCATCATCACATATAATCATGTCACCTCATCATCACATATAATCATGTCACCTCATCATCACATATAATAATATTAGATTGATATACTCACCACTACATATCACTATATCATTTTTCTTTTTTGATTATTTAAATAATTTTTTAATTAATTAAATATAAAGAGAGAAAAAAAATAAGATTGTATGTGGGTGATGCCACAATTTATCACTATGTGGTGTTTCTACATTTCACTGTATCATTAACATGAAGTGATCTTACCATATAAATCATATTTATGGTTAGTATATTTATGGTTAGTGGTGACCATTCTGAAAATAAACTAAATTAGGAAAACACTGTTTGAATTTTGTTAAATCATTTAGACATCGATGAATTTGGATTAGTAAGAATTTTTAAGTGTTTGGATGGTATAGTTTGAAAAGGAATTGGAACTCATTATTTTTTTAAATTTAGTTTGTTTATAAAGAATTCGGAATGTATTTTTGTCAAATGACATTTTTGTTTGTTTTATAAACAACCAATAAAAAAAGTTTTTAAGTTTTTTTTATTATTGATTCTGTAACATTTTTTAATCCACCCAAATTACTCGAACGAAACACCACCTAAGCTACTCAATGAAGAAATTACATAGTACAAGCAACTGCCTAATTACGAGGATAATTGACCGATTTAACCACTAAGTTACATAGTACAACTAATTTCCTAACAGCCTCAATGTTCAATGATTTCCAAGTTAAAAGGAAATTGTCCCAATCACTATCACATAAAGCATAGAGATGAAAATCACTCTCCCTACATAGTAGAATGCCCTATCAAAATAACCTTTTAAATACAATAAAACTCTCAAAGCTATATCCCAATGTTCATCTTTACTTGAAAGAAGCCAAATCCTTTTCGTATGCTACTTCAACAAAACACCCAATTCTTTGTAGACATCAAAAAATAAACCTTAGATTTTGAAGACATCAAATAAACCTATATGGCTCGAGTCTCGAGAATAGTAAACACTAGTTAAAAAAAAAAAAAAAAAAAAAAGTAATGAGCGCCAAAACTAGCCGACAAAAAATATACGACCCATATATCAATAATGATTATTTTTCTCTACTATTACTTAAAGGAAACATGCTTTGTTTTACCGAACCCTTGGTTTAGATGGGTTTTGAACCGGGTCGGACTATCCCCAATCTTTTTATGCACTTCTACTCCAAAACATGTACCACTTTTTCATTGCACAAAACATAATCGTACAAACACAACCATGGAATCACTATTCCTACTTAATTAATTGTTTCATCCCTACAAAAGTACAAACAGTCGACCACATCTTCTACAAAACATCTCCCCAAAAATCAAGGGAGTATAAAGTTACAAATTAACAAAAGATTAAACAGATTTCTGAAAACCTTTCTTCCTCACTATCCACTCAAACTTGCTCTTCAACTCGAAAACAGACCCATGTTTGAAAGGAGTGAGAATTAAGATGGCTTTACCAAAGAATCGGTAATAAAAGTCAAACAGTCGTGTAAATTGGGAAAAGGTCAATCATGCTGTTCAAGGTCTCTGGTAAGAACTTTCTTGCAAATAAGTAACATGGTCGATTCACACTATTCCACATACAGGGCGTAATCGTCATTTCCCTCTGCAAGATTCCCGTTGTAAATAAGAAACCAAAACCGAAAAACCAAGAATTTACAAAAAAGAAAAATACCTTTTCATCACTTGTAACATGAACACTTTCAGAAATCGACTGCAATTCATAACAACAAGAACGCGTTAAGATGGTAGAATTTTATGGGGGATTTGGTTTGTAAAATGTTTTTGGAAGGAATGGAATCCGTCAAAGGAATTGGAATCGTAATCTGTCATGCGCGTGGTTGGCAACATATGGATTGGAATTCAATAATAAAATTAAAAACTAAATATCTTGATTTTTTTTAGTTTTGTTAATTTCAATACATATGACAAGGGTACTTTGGTCTATCAATAAAAAAAGGAAGATACTAACTGGCTTCCTTCAACCACCCCTCCCTTGAGAATGGTGAAATCCATCGAACATGGAATTTGAACCATTCCCATGGAGTTCAGTTCCATCCACATGGCAAACCAAACACACAATGGAATGGAATCCGATGGAACTGGAATTCGAGATTCCATTTCCATCAGATTCCATTGAAATTCAAGATTCCAAACACTCAATGGAATGGAATCTGATGGAACCGGAATTCAAGATTCCATTGGAATTTGAGATTCCAAACATGCAATGGAATGGAATCTTGAATTCCAATTCCATCAGATTCGGGGATTCCCACCATAAATGAATTATAAAAATAAGTAAAAATATACCGAAATATTTTTGATGAGCTGTAAAGAGACGTCCTTCTTCCGGTAGGATTTCGGATGCCATTTTCGTTCCGACCAATCAACATGCGTCACCGACCAGTTTGCTACCCCATGTGGATCAAACATCTAAAAATTTGAATCACAAAATTAATTAATTTTAAAGATAAAATCCAAATCCTTTTTCTAGAAATAAGTACAACACAAAATGAACGATAAAAACCCCAAAATTTCTCACATGAAATAATGTTGGCAAATAATGTTCATCAGCATAGCAATTACGCCCATCCATACCAGGCTGCGGTCAAAGAAAAAGTCATCAAAATAAAAAAAAAATTATTCTTCCAACAACCCCTGAGCTGGCCCACACTGTGTCCTGTACCATATCAGGTACACAGTGGCCCACTAAGTGGTCGTCATAAAGCCCAGTAATCCAGATTGGAATTGAAACTCCCACACTGTAGCTACTGAGATTCAAATATATATATATATATATATATATATATATATATATATATATATATATTCTCACCCGACAATAATCTCGGAACTTTGTATAGTAGAGACTATCGGCCATAACAATAATAGCATGTTGACGCTTCATTGTGAACCACTGCAAAAAGTACAAAATTACCCTTTGCTTCAATTTCAAATACAAAAAATTGTAATAAGACTACAATATCCAAAATAGTTGAATATTATATTACACCTGAGCACCCTTTCTAAAGAATTTCTTTTCAACTTCAGGTAACATACGGTTGGAATATCTACCACTTCCATGTGGGCCAGGATCCTCAAAGCTGGACAACATTTAAAAACATCAGAATTACATAAAAAGTGTTATATTTACATTTTGACTTTTTAAGTCAAACCTACTACTTTCAAATTGCATATTGGATATGAAATTTGTGACTAAATGGCACCAAGAACACAATATTTGTACTGCTTGTAATCAATACTAATGTAAATGGCAATTTTCCTGCCAAAAAAACTGTTAAAACGCATTGAATTTGAAGTTGTAAAGTTTCATGTTTGACTTCCAAAGTCAAAGCTGTCAAGATTTTTGTACAAACCTGTCGATGAAGCTGATGTTGGTGTAGATAAGATAATTATATACATAGTCAAACCCACGCAATGGTACACAGCTGAAAAAAGCAAGAATTTGACATTGACACTAAAATCAGATATTGACCAATATACCCCTGTCAGAAACTAACACAAAACGCTGACCTGTCAGAAAGTAACACGAAATGCTGATTATCAGGATCCTTCAATGCATTCGCCAAAAGCCGTTTTTCAGCATCAACCATTGAAATTTTCCCCCAATCTACCTGAACAAAATATTGACCAATATACCCCTTGTCAAGGGTAGTTGTATCTGTATAGCACTAGCATGATAGGTGATTTTGATTATGTTTCCACTGGTTATTCTGTATGTATGTATCATTGGATGACATATATAATAATTATATATACATATGATGTTAAAGCTTAAAAGTTTTTAAAAGTTGCTATTATTTTTTAACATAAAGATTATTGCTATTTAACAATGTATATAACAAACCTTGTCACTACGAATTTCACGATTTTGGAAATATCGACTAGAGTGGACCGGTTTGACTCTGGATGCATGAATATGGATCGAAAATTTACCTTCATGACCCTACAAATTATGTAAATAAGTCATCAACTAGAGGGGTAAAACTGTCAAAACACAATTTTAAAGAAAAGAAATGATCGTTGGAAGGTGTTTGGATGCACATTTTTAAACTGATTATTGCAACTTGAAGCACAATAATGAGTTTCTTAAAGCAACTTCTTATGCTTTTTTCAAAACTTGATCATTTTGACTTCAAATCATCAGAAAATCATAGTGTAATGATTTTAATCGCACATCCAACACCCTTTTGGATTAAAAAAAGGGCGAATTATTATTTCTTACATACCTGAAAAAATTTATCCCACAATCTTTCGAAAGGTAATGATCCAGGACTCAAGAACATGAAAGCAATCTTGGGATTTTTTGTTTCCATTTGGGAGTTTAATATATTCTTAATTACAACACGAGAAGCAATCTCTTCATCAGTGAGTTGTCTTTCTGGAGGTGGAAGCCATCTGGCAATGGTTTTACAGCTAGAAGACGAGAAGATATAACAGGCAGTAGAGTCTCGAGGTGGATGAATGTATGCGACAATTAAGAAGATGCAAACTAATGAAACCAATATGATAATCCATTTGGGTTTCTTTAATTGAGAACGATGGCGAGGTGGATGCAAAATCTGCATATCTTTCATGCCCATAGGACACGACTCAGTGGATTCGTTTATAATTACGCATCGCACTATGTAATGAATTATTCGAATCTGCAAGCAAGAATATAGAATTAGATGAAATCGCAAAATCGAAGCAACTGATGTTTATAGTTTTTAAAAGCAATTTATTAAACAAAGATGGAAGTCAAACCTACCAATCTAAGTCAATGTCACATAATCCATCCAAATCCCAAATGCATTTCACATAAACACGAAACTTTCTTGGAATAAAACCCTTAAATGCCACGCAGAACACATGCTTTTACGCTTACAAACATGTATGATAGTGATAGTGATAGTGAGAGTGATAGTGAATGTAATGCAAATGTTTTTGGTTTTGAGGGTAAACCCAGGATAGAAAATCAAAATTTTATACGAAATTAATTGAAATTGAAAGCGAAATCAAAAGCGAACCCCCCGCCACTTTCAAATTGGGGGATTGCCCTTAAAGAATCTTGAATTAGAACGAAGAACGAGAGATGAGGAGCAATACCTGGTTCAAGCGATCTTTATCTGAATCTTTCTTTACTAATTATTCTCCGATTAAAGCTTCATCTCTCAAATGGGTGTCAAGATCTGGAAAAAGTGAAACCCAGAAACGAGTTGGAGAGCAAGAGAACAGAGTAACTCTACGGATGATAATTCGATTGAAGAGGATACAGGTTTGTATGCTTTTGTTTGGATATATGAGTATGTGTGCTTATGGATGAGTGAAGAGAGAAGGGAGTGATGGATTAAAATCAAGAATGGTGTTCTGTAATTGGGTGACTGCTGCTGCGTCAACAGAGTCCAAGCACGGGAACATTTCAGCCGGCGAATTTGTAAGAATAAAATGTGGATTACAAGTGGTCAAAATGTATGGAGTGGGAAGTTGGTGAGTCAGTAGATTAATAATTGATTTGGTTTAAAATTACATTCACCAGTAACTATCAAATTATTCGCCTTCACATAATATAATAAAATTGGATAATGAGTTAGAGGTTAATCAATTTTTAATTTTATTTATATTTAGTCATTGATATATTTTTTTTTTGTTTAATTTATCTATGAATAATTTGAAATTGTTTACATTTTATCCTTATGAACGATTATAAGGATAATACGACTAAAATATAAACAATTTCAAATCATTTAGAGATAAATCAAACACGAAAAAAGTTCAATGATTAAATGTAAATAAAATTGAAAGTTCGTGATTTTTGTAAGTCATTATTCCTTGTATTATTTAACAGTTTGGAACTTTCACAACCTCAAATTACATTCTAATTATCTTGAATCACATTATTTTCATGGAACCAAGGTGCAAATTCTATTGTAATATGTGGTTGGCTAAATGATGTTTCATTATAACCTATAAAACTTTAATTAGAAATAGAAGCATAAAACATGGAATGAATAAAGAAACTCCCCTTAAAAGTTTATCTTATGGACTAAGATTAAAACCATGAACTACACCCTAAATGTATTTGTATATATTGTACCTTTCTCCATAAATTGATAAATAAAAAAAATCTTAACAAAACAAATTGTGAAGAGTTTACTCCACGATTTTAAGACAAGCTAAACCATGACACCATTAAAAAAGCTCATGAAGGACATAATGGTCCACTACTTTCACGAATATAAGTACACCATGATAGACTAGAAGGTGGAACACGCCCCTTCGGAAGGGATTGGAAAACAAACTTAGTCGAACTCATTAAATCGTTGAAGTAATTTTTTCTTGTAAAAATCATTTAACTTTAATGAGGTTTTGTAACATCTCAAAAATGAAAACAAATTTAAACTTTTCAAAAACAACCCATTTACTCAGAAAGTGTTTACATAATCATTATTCCCAAAAACATTATTTAAAATCAAAGTCTCCCAATATCCAACAACATAAAATCCATGATGTGTACAGTCATGCCTTCGCATTATCACGGTCCTCAAAAGCACTTGAAACAAAACTAAAATCGTAATCCAACGCTTAATGAGTTTCCCCGAAAGTACCACCACATAAACATAACAAGCAACAAGATGCATAGAGAGCCTTCATCATGATTGGACCGCCTCACTGGGCCTTCAACCTATTTGGACCATTCTTTGGGCCTTCGACCCGATTGATCTGCCTTGTAGGCCTTCATTCTATTTGGACCGTCGTGGGTGTCTTGGCCTTCAGTCTCAGATGGTCTGCCTCAACCCAATAAACCATAACATATCAACATACATCATAACAATCGATAGCTAGCAGATATAGGTAATCATATAGATCTAACAGATCACTATAGCATAGCAACATCCTACATACCAGGACACGGATCCAACAGATCACTACGGCATAGCAACATCCTATATATCAGGATACAGATCTAACATATCACTACAACATAGCAACATACAACAAACTTGGATATCTAATCCAATGGGTCGGCCTTAGTGCCTTTGACCCGTAAGTACAGTAAAGAAAATTCACAACTCAATCTGAATACAATATGAATAAATCTTTGCTCCAATAACTGGCTATACTCAACTCTTAATAATCAAAACATTCCTTATTATAGATTAATAACAATTTCCCTAAATACCCTTGGTCAAACTTGGTAAAAGGTAAAAGGTGAAGTCAACACCCAGCCGAGTCAACCCAGCCAAGTATGTTGGGCGTACTCCTCTATATGTCGGGCGTACTCGCTGGTTGACCAGGCGATAGGGCTCTGACCGCTTATGCGTAGTGTACCACTTGGTACGCCAATGTACACACCTGATCAGCTCTTTTCTCATTAAGAGCTTAACACATCTAGTCCTTACGTCCAAAGTTAGATCCACGCCCCAAATAGCATCCTTGACCATAAAGTTTCCAACTTCATGGTCTTGCATGGCCAAAAAAATGCTTAATACGAAAAACCCTTATCTACTTAACCGATTAAGACCTTGTAGCACATGCATGGGAGGGAATAAATGATCAAGTCCACATTTTTATGCCTCTAATCACCTCAAAACATCTGAAAGGACGTCTTGAATGGATTGAAATAACTCATACTCAAAATAGACAACTATTGGGACCAAAAGGACACAAATTCAAGGCTAACTTAGATCTATGCTTATCTTTCATCAAGTTTAAAGCTTTTTACCTCAAGGTGATGACAAATGATGATGAGATTCTGGATCCAAAGAGTCTTACTCCTCTAAGATGATCTTCTCTTCTTCCTCTCTCCTTCAGGGTGACCAAAACACACACTCAAAGCTCAATATGAATAAAAAATGGATTAGGGTTTGTTTAGGGACTTCGTAAGCTGGAGGCTAATGAAAAAAGGTAAGTTGGGGGACTTAAGGATGTTTAAATAGGGTCAACCCTAAAAAATTAGGGTTTGTGGCTCACCCACGTACGCCCCACGTACTCTAGGAGTACGTTGGATATGAGTCCGCCCTAATATTTAAAAGAATGCCATTATGGGTCATTTTGCAAACTTTCTCATGCATACGGGCCAAAATGTAATATTTCTCCATACTAGGGTTAAAATTGAAAATACATCATCATCGGGATGTTACAAGTTTGTAGCTTTGTGTAGACCAAAACAAGCACAACCAAGAAAGCACAATGAATGCTCGATGGCTTCATTTTTATAGCATGTTAAGCCGTTTCTTGGTTTTAACTATTGACTTCATGAATATATTAAAATAGGAATAATAACTTGAAAATGTAACGAACTTTCAATTTTGTTCACTTTTAGTCATTGAACTTTTTTTCGTGTTTGATTTACCCCTTAATTATTTGAAATTGTTCATGTTTTAACCTTATAACCGGTCATAGGTGTAAAATGTGAACAATTTCAAATAATTCATGGGTAAATCAAACATGATAAAAAGTTCAATGGCTAAATGTAAAGAAAACTAAAAGTCCGTTATCCTTTCAAATCATTATCCCTAATAATAATAATAATAATAATAATAACAACAATAACAACAACAACAACAACAATAATAATAATAATAATAATAATAATAATAATAATACAAATTTGCAAAATAGTTTTTTGGTTATAAGAAACAGGGAAATGACTTAAAAAGACAATTAATAACACAAAATTTGTTCTTTAGGTCTGTAAAATTTTAATTGCATTCGATAAAGAAATAAACTTTTTATTTTGGTTTAAAAATACAAAGATTCTAAATAACATTAGCCGTGACATTGCGGCAATATCAAGCCTCAAGCTTTTATAAGTCGTAGCGAGTCACATCATTTGTAAAGTGTGACTTAAGGAAATAATTTTATATATAGTAAATAATTTTATTTTTATATTCTACTATTATTCTTTTATATATACATAAATGACTTAAGACGGTTTTTTGTTAAAGCGTGGCGTCAAGTACAAAGCTTCGAGCCATGACGCGACTTGACGTCGAACTTTTTATAACCTTGAAAAATACCAACGGTTACAATTTTTATCAATTAAAATATCAACAAAAACTTTCATTTCTCTTGCCACATCTAACTAAAAGCCTCTTGTAATCATTTTTCTCAAACCACAACTGATAATCGTTAGCAACACCAAATAACTTTGTGAGGTTCCTATTTAATCGACAAAATCAATCCATTTGAAGTTGTGGTTTGAGAAAAATGACTATAATTAACTTTTAATTGGACATGGAAAGGATAATGATGATTTTTGTTGTCACTTTAACCTTTGAAAATTGTTATCGTTTTATTTTAAAACCAAAATAAAAAATTGGTTTGCTTACCAAAAGGTTTTTGGCCTAGCGGTAAGGAGTGACTCTCTCAAATAAGAGGTCATGAGTTCAAGTTTCACTATGAGACATATGTGGTGTTTATGATTAGATTAGGCGAATAGTCGCTTGACAAATAGATATTAATATATGTTATTGATATTTATATCATAATACATTTCATATTTTACCCTACTATTTCATGTTATTCAAAATACAACATTTTCATTTTTAGAAATATATTAATGTTTTTTTTTTTTTTTTTTTTTTTTTTTTTTTTTTTTTGTATTTGATGGGTTTTTTTGTTTTTGTATCAAAACCAAAACATCCAACAAATACTATGAAATCTATGTTTGTTTATCACCATACAACTCTACTTCTCGGATTCAATCCCGATTACACTACTGAAAATGCACAAAGTGACATTCATATCCATTAATATCAATTAAGTAAATAATGTGATGTACTTATTATTTGTTAAATGCATATCGATGCATCATATTAATTTTCATATTCCAATATCAGTAAACTAAAACCACATAGGCATAGTCTGGATACCAACATCTAATTTCCATTAGAGACTAATAGAAACACACCCATGCCACACAAATGCTTGGTTCTGACTAAATGTATATATACAAAAAAATGAAAGCTAAAAGGATTACATTCTCATGACTTGAAAAGGAGCAGGTCAACTCATTGGTATCGGTTAATACCAGTACAACATTAAAATATGCATGACCTGCCTTTAGTTCACATGTGATATTTTATATGATCAAATAGGAAATCATGACTTTAGTGGAAACTAAGACCAATTGACATGTAAAACAATTTATATGTAGCAATACATTTGCTAATATGACTTCATTTTTTCCAATATCTTCTAGGGTTTAATAAATCCACCTTGTGATGCCAAGGATGAATATTTCATTGTTTTCCATCTTTTTTTATATTCTTAGATATTAAAATGGTTTTAACAAAAAAAATCTTAAGAAAAATAGAAGTTCTTACACGCATGGATACATATGGAAGTGTCAAATAGTGAAGGTAGAGATAATTTTCATTGTTGAAGGAATGATGATGAAAATCGAATCTATTCAAATAATTTAAAATGCTCAGCAAGATTTGTTTGTGTGTGCGTGAGTCAAATATTAATTTAGTGTGACAACCGTCAAATTTCGGTCAAGTCAAAGTCAACTAAAGTCAGCAAGTCAAACCGTTTGACTCAATTTCCCCGTGAGTACTAAAATTTACACTATGAAACTTCTACATAACTCTCTATTCTAATGAGAAATCATAAAGCAAAAAGTGCGAACACCTATACCTCCTTAACCTAAAAACTGTGGTACGTGGCGAGCCAAACCGATAAAACAATGTTGCATACTCATCGGGAGTGTGTGAGATCCTTAAACAAGGCTTAACAGGGTTTACGAACCATGCATTGCGATGCCGGACACTCACAATTGTCACACATGGAACCTCTCCCAATCGTTTTCACTCTATCTCTCTCTATGTCAAATCTCTCCCAAATCTCTCCAAGTATGTGAAACCTCTCTCAAATATCTCTTTGTATGAGGAATCTCTCCAAGAATGTCAAATCTCTCCTAAATCCCTCTAAGCATGTGAAATCTCTCTCAAATATCTCTCTGTATGAGAAATCTCTCCAAGAATGTTAAATCTCGCCCAAATCTCTCCAAGGATGTGAAATCTCTCTCAAATATCTCTCTGTATGAGAAATCTCTCCAAGAATGTCAAATCTTTCCCAAATCTCTCCAAGTATGTGAAAC